TTTTCTTTAGAATCTAATTTACTATATTTCTTCAACTCTTATAAGTATTTAAGAAGTGTTTATTTCTTCACAAGCAGATAAATGCTAATGCAAAAACACATAACAAAAATTGTAAATATAAAAAAATGAATGTATCCTGTAAGTAATTCCTATCCCACTAATCAGATATAAAAACATAATGTAATACTTTTAAATTTAATTAATTTGCAATGCATTGAATTATAAATAAACTTTATCTTAAAGCAACTTAAATTCCAAAACAACGTACTCGATGAAATAATTTGTAATACACCTAATTTTGTTATAAGTTGAATTGGGATTTTTTAATGACTCGAGTATATTTTAAGATTCTATTACAACCTATATAGATTCTAAGTCTACAATAATTCCATTCTGACATACATATATATAATATGAAAATTTTATTTTATAAATTCAAAGGTCATTATTTTAAATCAAATACAAAATTTAATAACTAAATGTTATAGAATGCAAAACCAATATCCTCTTTATTATCAAATATTAAATTATATCAAATTGTATATAATTTAATAAAAGATGAAAATAGGCCTTATAAAAAATATTAATCTGTATTTATTATTCTATGTTTTTTCTATGAATGTTTTATTTTTATAGAATTTATAACCTTAAATTATAGAAATTTTCATCTCCCTAATACAGATATCCGTAAATGTATTATTTTCATAGAATTTTTATAGAGGCCATGGAGAAATAATAGAAATATTCGAATAAAAATTTTTTATAGAGAAGAAACTATATTGCAAGCAAACTTAGCCAAATTTGATCAATAATTTAGATATTTAACTATACTTTTCTGAATAGAATAATGCATAATAAGCAGTATACAACATTTTTAAAGTTTACTATTCTTTTTTAAAGTATCATACAAAGTACACCTTTACTACCAATCCAACTAGCAATCTACAAAGCTTATTTTCAAAATTTTTAACCTCTTAGTGATCCATTTTCTTAATACATAGATATAATCTTAAGAATTCATTAAAGCCGTCAGATAATAGATCTATTTCTCTTATTTATTTCCATATACCAATTTGGTCAAGTCAATTAGATCTTAATCTCTTATGTTAATTTCTGTTTCTTCTTTAATTCCTTTACTGGTTTTCTAATGAAATTGCTTGATTCATCAAGTATTGCAACCAGAAAATTTATTTTGAATAATTATGTCTGCAGATATCTCAAGGAAATTAAATAATAGAACGGCAAGTATAGTTAATATATAATAACAATATACTTATTTAGCATTTAATAATTAGATCCTTAATCGAAAAATTAGTAACAACCCAACTTCTCTATAATTTCTAATTATATAAAAAAGCTGCCAAAGAGATTTCCATATAGCTACAAAGAGAATCAGTTTCATGATATAATATTAATGCTGCTTATTTAAACAAAGTGGTCTTTGCACTAATGTTTTAGTTGCGGAGCCTGTAACCCATCTAACAATAGACCTTGCGCTATTACTGTAGATATAAAATCTAAAGTAAGATCCTTGTACTCCTACTGCATCTGTGGAATCCAACTGGAAAGACTTTGCACTGCTACTGCAGTCTCAGAGTTAATTGCTACAAAACAAGGTTTTTGTAGTCACAAAGTCTGGCTTTATTTACAAATAAATATCATCTAACAAGTATTAAGTTTATTGCTAAGCTATTGCAAAATGGGTAGTGGAAGGGATAATAGAGCCACCTTCCTACAAGGCAAACAATAGCAAAGAAGAAAACAACTTCCTTCTACACCCTTAAATATGTTGTACTTACAAGCACGTCCTTTTCCTTTCGCTCTAATGATTTTATATTGAACTAATATGGTAATATCTTCTTATTATTACTGTTACTAATTAACTAATACTTCTCCACTTAACAATCATATGCAATCCTAAGAAAAACTTGTATCTAACGGGACAGTACAGCTATTACAAAAAAGTTTATAAAAGGCTAAAATGACAATTAGTACATAGTTATGCGTAAGAAAATTGACCTCCAGAATTAGTATCATAAGAAAATTGTGATCTGTACAAATATATAGTCTAATCAACTTTAAGATTTTGCTTCCGGTCTATTCTTCAATAAACCATATACTTACGTTCCTAGTACAGTATATCGTGTCCACTTTAAATTTAATAAATCAAATTTTTGAACCACAAAAGTTAATATTTTAAATTTAAATTTTATTAAGTTCTTTCTTATCATTATCTGCAGTAAGAACGTTTTTTATTGTTACAATCTATTGTTACTAAACAAAAAAAAAAATTCAATTATTGTATTTAGATAGTAATAATAAATTATGCCTTACCGTTATAAGAAAACATGATATTATAAGCATTAGCAAATCAATTTACTAAGAGAAAATAAAGTATAATAAATAATAATATACGTATATACTTATTAATTTCTATACAAGTTCTTTATAAGACTTTTAATTAGATTGTCTTATACACTTTTTATAAAATGATGATAATGCTATAAAGCTAACTCAACTTTATATATAATACAAATTACAGGCTAAAAACAAGATTAGTATTGCAGTAAATATCTTTTGTACATAATGATAATAGCAAATCCTTGTGATTGTTAGTATGCAGGGGATGTATATATGTACGTATGTATATATATACGAATATATAGTACATATATTTGTTTATATGTACGTATATATGTATTGGTATGTCAATAATTTATTGACAAAGTATAATTTTAAAAGAATTTGGTTTAAAAATAATTTGCTTGTCATAAATTATAAATAAAATAAAAAAAGCCAAATCAATTAATTTAAATCAAATATTTGCTCAAGCTTTAATATATATTATAAATTTTTAATCAAAAATAATATTTATCTATTACTTTACATAATGATATCCAAAAAAGATCAGTTATTAAATCTTATTAATCTTTCTAATATTGCTAAATCTAATAATGAAGATCAAATGGATATTGATCAAAATGAGGAACTTAGTCAACAATTAGCATTATATCATAAGATTATAATCCTGAAATTAATTATAATGAAGTTCCTAAGTCTTATGATTGGGTTTAAAATTGTTTATTTAATTATAATGATAAAGAATTTAAAAAAATATTAAAAATGAACAAATCAACCTTTTGGTTATTAGTTGATAAAATTAAATTTCATTCTATTTTTTATTTAAATTCTAATAATATTCAAACAGATATTGCTATTCAACTTGCAGTAGTATTATATCAACTTGAAACAAATTCTTCTCTTTGGACTATTGCAACTTTATTTAGAAAAAGTGAAGCAATAATTCTTATTTTTTTAGATCGATTAATTATTGCTTTACAATCTTTAAGAGAAGAATATATTATTTAGCCTCATGATGATTATCAAAAAGAAGTAAATCAAGAATTTGAAGATTTAGGTTTTCCAATAGCAATTGGAGCAATTAATGAAACTCATATACCTTTAAATAAAGCTCTAAGTAAAATTAATAAGAATATATATATATCTCGTAAATATCAATATGGTATTTATTTACAAGAAATTGTTGATCATAAAGGATATTTTATTTCTTATAATATTGGTTGGCCTGCATCAGTTCATGATGCAAAAGTATTTAAAAATTCCGATATATATAAGCAGCATAATTTTTTTATTAAGAATGAAGATTATTTATTAGAAGATTCTGTATATCCTTTATTATCATAGATAATGACACCTTTTAAAGATCCACAAAGTTTAAATGCAGAAAAACAAAAATATTATAATACAATTCATAGTAAAGCAAGAGTTGTTATTAAGCAAGCATTTGGAAGATTAAAAGCTAGATTTTCTTTTTTAAAAGAAATGAGATTGAAGGATACAACCAAAGAAACAAAAATTATAAATATTGCTTTAATTTTACATAATTTTATTGAAAAAAATAATAATAAATAGAAACAAAATAATGATAATAATCTAATTGAATTAGAATTAGAGAATTTTGAACTAGATAGTGATCAATTTGATGATAATAAAAATAATTCAGAAGATAAAAATAATGCAAAAATTAAGCAACAAAATTTATTAGAAATTATTTGTATGAATATGTTTTCTTAACTATTTTATTTTTTAAATATTAAATATTTTTAAAATTTTTATTTATTATATTAGTAAATTTAAAATAAATTTATATTTTATACAAAGATTTATAAAAATTTTTAAAAAATTATTTTGATTTTAAAATTTTATTAATATGTAAAATTAATAATATAACCTTAAAAACATTTTGAAAAAAAAAATGTTCTCAAATAGGAGAACTTTATTTTAAATGTAAGTGTATTTAAAGAAATTAAATATTCTTTGAGCACTATGTAAATACTAAATTTTAAACACTACTTGTAATATTAATAAATATTATAAAATTTGTTATTGAGATGAAAATAAATAAATTATATATATATAATAATGGTGTTTTATTAAATTATTATTGCAATTAGATTATTTACTGCAAAAATTTTAGTCTATTCAAAACTAATTACAATATAACTTGGTTATATATATAATATAGCATAAGTGATATCCAAAAAAAACCAGACTAGCTTTTAAATCTTACTTATATATATCATCAATTAGTTAAGGATGAGTTTGGTTATAAATAGTTATGATTATTTATAGCCAATTTGCTAAATATTGAGCTATTAATTAAAATTAACTCTGCTCATTCCATCTTATAAGTAGAAAGAATGATATCTTCTCTGGGACTCAGAATTTTAAAATTATTAACACCATAACTAGTTATGACAATAACAAATTTTGAAATTCTGAGTCCCAGAGAATATATTATTTTTTCTGCTTATAAGATAGGATGAATAGAGTTTACTTTAATTAATAGCTCAAAATAAAAAATCATTTTAGTATTTAGCAAATTGGCTATGAAAGATTGTAACTATTCATAACTGAATCATCTCTAATTTAGACCTTACACATCTCCAATTCAAATTACGATCTAATGCGACTTAGTTTTAAATCCACACCTATTCTATTTTCACACATAACATATATATCAAATTTATTAGATCCTTTATTATTAGGCCAAAATCACAATCCAATCTGCTAAAGAATCATTTAGCTAATTGTTATTAGATGTTTTAAGAATGATAAAAATAGCTATAAGTACATGATACTCAATTGTGCAAATATCAGAAACATAAAAATTATACGATGTTTTTAGTATGATTCTTAACAAACTATATCAAATCACATAATTACTAATTATTTTATATTAATTTTTATATAACTGATAGCAAACAATAAACTTAAATCATACTAAATCATACTATTCCTAGCCAATGTATAATATTTAAAAGTAGAGATTAGAATCAGAGTTTCGAGAATTAATTAGTCACAAATTTTAAATTTTCGAATATTGGTAAAAAATTTTGACTAATGTTCAAATGTTTATTAAGTTTTTAAAAAATATAGTATAATATGTAATTTATCAATTGTACTATTATCTCTATTTAATTACAATTTACATGACTTATAATTTACAACACTACAAAAACAATATGTACTATTATTGCATTAAAAGCAACCTGCACTATTACCACTACATTATTTAATATGTATTTACATGACTTATAATTTTCAATTTCTCAGAAATAGTAAAATCATATTATACTTTAGAAATATCATTCTGCCAAATAACTTTGGCTTTAATAATATTCTTTTTATATGCAAAAAAAATGAATATAATCACTTGTATTTATCTAAGTTTTATTAACAAACAATAAAATTTACTACTCGATTACCACTCAATGATGTAAATTGGATTCGCATAGTAGACACAGCATACATAGATTTAATTTGCGCATATATCAACATTCTCCATATATATAAACACATATAAATTTTTTTTTTGTGTATATTTTTTTTGTGTTTGCACTAATAAAAATTTTGGCTAAAATGCATTATAGCTTACCCTACCTAAAATTTAGAGTATACATCTTAAAAATTGGGGTATATACCCCCAAAAAAGGGTGCATACCTTATATGACCCCGTCTGGCCTAGGTTATACAAAAACACACTAGATTCTAAAAATAGAGGTCATATAACATAAAATATATTCTAAAAAATAGGGTATGTATTCCAAAAAATGGGTATATACCTCAAAAAATAGGGTATATACTCTAAAAAATGGGGTATATACCCTAAAAATTGTATTAAAAAAGGGTATATAATAGTATTATATATATATACGCGTGTGGGTCCCCCTGTGATAATTTTGGCCAAAAATTGGTATAATGCTGATAAAAAGAGGTAAGCTATAGTGCATTCAGCCAAAATTTTTTGAATTTATAATACTGCTACTACTAGATTTAAAAACTAATAGCATCTTCAAACATTTAATAAAATGGAATCGAACAATTTAACACGTACTATAGGATCATTGTGTATTTCGGGTACTTTAAAAGTACCAAGGATTGCGGGTGAAGAGTGAGATATTATAGAGAATCTTCTTGTTCGAAGAATTTGTAATTGAAAAGAAAATAATAAATGATGCATATTTATGCTTTTTTTTTTAAGAATATTGTTAAATATTGCAAGTTGCTATATCGCAGGTTAATATAATTAACCAATTAGATCACAGGATCTTGTATAACAAAAATGAATGAAAAATTAGAAAAAATTAAAAAATTTAAATATCTCGAAATTTCATATGTAAACTAGTCTTGAGCTTCTAATTAAAAGTTTTTAACACTTAATTTTACATATATACATGCCTTCTAACTCTAATCCTAATATTAGTTTGAACCCTAACTCTAACTAATAATAACTATTAAATGTATATTAACCTGCGATATCACAACCTGCTAAATTTAACAAAAATCTTTTTTAAAATGTTAAACTTTGATTACCACTCATAACTTTCTTGTATCTGAAAACAAGTGCTTACTTAGTATGCTTGTTGCAAGAATTGCAAGAAATTTTCAGGCCATTTTACTTAAAATCAGAAATTGCTGTTTTTGCAAAGACCATTATATCATAGAATTTCTCTCGAAATCAAGCAAAATAATTTGAAACTTTGTGGTTTTGTGAGCTTGATAAAAAATCAGATTAATGAACCCTTCATGATAAGTTTGCTTTTCATTTTGATTAGTTATAAAAACTAATTTAGATATTGATAAAGTAACTTGTTTAGATAAATATTGCTGTTTCTTAAATTTGCATACATAGCACGTAAAGTTTCTTCAACTTGATTTTACTCATCAGTCGATAATATATGTAATCTTTTGCATTTTGGGTTCAATTGAGTTTTTTAACAATGTTAATTGGAAAAAATTTATTAAACAAAATTTTTATCAAATAATTATTTATTAATCAATCAAAAACTTATCACTATTAAAACTTATAGTTAAATTTTAAAATTCAATAAATAAAGTTTATTTTGATGTTTGAAATTTTTGATCGATTTTCAAAATTTTTGATCGAGATTTGAATAATTATTCACCAATTTAACTTTCTATTTAAAAGTATAAGAGATAGTTTATAAATAATTTTTTTTTGAAGCTAAAAGAATCAATTTTATTTTTATAATATACATAAAGTGACCTTTTGTTAATATCAACCTAAGCTACAAGACAAATTTTTATAAATTTTTATATATCAAAAGGTTGATATTAACAAGGTCACCTGTAATAAAATATACATTTAAAATTATATTAAACTATATTATTTTTAAATTTAAGTTCGAGCTCATTAGTTTTTAGTTTTAATTCTAATCTATATTCGAGCTCTAACTTATATTTGTATTTTTCTAATTCGATTTTTTCTTTTTCTATTTGCTTTTCATGTTCCTACTTCTCACGTTCAAATTTAAGTCTTTCTTTTTCCTTTTTATATTTATACTCAAATTTGTCTTTTTTTAAATCAAAAAATTTTTTTTTAGTTTCAGCCTTTATTTTTTTGCTTTTTGTAATTACATCTATCGATTTTATATAATGAATTTTATCTTCATTTAAGTGTTGCCTTTTATTAGATTTTAGAGAACAGTTCTTATTTTTTTGTTCTAAACTAGTACTATAAATCTATTAAAAAATATAAATATATAATAATTATTATATAAATATATATATTTAATACTGTAATAAACAATATTTTATTTATAATATATTATTATATTTATCTGACCCATGCTATTAATTAAATAATCAGGATTGACATTTTCATAATTTCTAAATATATCATTCATTTTAGTGTAAAAGGGCCAAGTTGATATACCTTTATCAGTCTTATTTGAGCTCTCGTTCATATACTTGGTTACAAAATTTTGTAATTTATTACGAACTTGTTTACCGGTTTTACCTTTGATAAGATGCATAGCAGCACGAAGATAAAATTTATCTTTATTTGTTTGATAAAGGAATATATTATCGGATAGGTAGGCAAGTAGTGATTTAATAGTTGAATTTGGCCAAAGTATAGTTTCATTATCACTACTATCTGATAAAGTAGTTGTCTTTTGTTTTTTTTTAGTTTTTGATTTAGATGATAAAGGTGTAATATCTGAATTGAAAAATAAAATATCTAAATCAGAAGTATTGGGGTTTGGAGATGAAACATTTATATTAGAAGATAAAATCTTTAGATTAGAAGATAATGGCAATGATTTTATCATAGATGATTATGTATTAGAACATATAATAGCTTGGTTTTGGTTAGTAGCGAGATTGTCATCTTCATTGCAAAGTGAAATAACTTCTATTTGATTATTGTGTAAGGAAATAGGCTCCTTAATAAAAGTATATTGATAGGTGAATTTTTTAGAGATTTGATTAGGATAAATAGCTAAAATAGGTTGGGATTGCGCTTGTTTCAAAATATCTATTTCTAAAACTTCGAATTTAGATCATAAAAAAAAGGGTTTAATTCTTTAAATATATATTAGTGTAATTGTTTTAAATCATTAACTAATAAATACAGTAAATTAATATTTTATTATTGACATTAGTTGAAGTATGCTAGTTATGGTGCAGCACAAATTATTTAAAGTTCTTCATATTAGGGTTAATATTATAGGTTAGAGAAAGGTAGTTTGCATAGTAAAATTGCTTAACAAAACACTAGCGCAAACAAAAATAATGAACCAAACCGCTACTATTAATACAGAATAAACTGTTGCTCATAAAATTTTAAAAACTTGCGAAAACTTCTATTATAACTTTTTTGAATTCTGATCGTATTACATTGTATCTGATCTTGAAATCTGATTCATAGTTTAGTAAATCTGCGCTATAAACCTGGTACACATTCAAAGAATGCGAATCTAATTTGGGCTTGAACTTTTTCTTTAAATCCTTTTAATTTTTTATTATAATCATACAGCCTTAATTGATTATATATATGTACATACATACTTGGGTAATTTATAGCTCAATTTTATTATTTCAAAATACTGCTTTACTTTTTCTCTAACAAAAGCTATAGTAATTCAAATATGAAATATGCAGCATTTATTGTTGATCTAAAGCTAATAAAACTTTAAAAACCAAATAATAATAGGATTAAATGGGTTATTCTTTACAAAAATTCTTGTTTATATTTGTTATAGTTTGTACTATGAAGGTTTCCCTATTACACTTATATGCGTTGTAAATGTATCATCTAGGGCTTAAAATTTTGTTGAAGATTACAATAAAAGTTAGAAAAAACTTTTTAGTGTAAGTTTTAATTTTTTTTTTCTTTGTTTTTGATTTAATTCAATTAATTGCTCAACATTACTGATATTGACTACCGCTACTACTTTGTATATAGGTAATAAATATAATAATTATTAATTTTTAATCAATTCCGAGTACTCCTATCAAGAACATACATACCTAATCTTAAATATATATTTGAAATTGATATTTATTATTTTGGATTATTTGAAATAGATACATTTTTTATAAAGGTGTCCGAAATTGATTGACAAATTGATAATTTGAGTTTGGATAGTTCTGATTTCTGATGAGTAGATAGATATATTTCTATTTTAGTAGGTGGGTAGGTTCTTGATAGTATACTGGTGAGTTCACGTTTTATTAGTTGACAGATAAGTAATTTTATAGCCATGAGTTTGACAATAGATAGGTTATTTTATTGGCAGTAAATAAATTCATAATTTTTAATAGTAATAGGTTAGTAATTTTAACAATAGGTGAATTAGTAATTCAATAGTAGATGATTCAGGGATTCAAAATAGGTTAGCAATTTCAATATTGAGTTCACAATTCTAACATTAAATTGTTTAATAAATTTAATATTGAGTTGGCGATTTTATAGTAACTGTGGGTGATTCATAATTCCAGTAATAAATGATTTGATACTTCAGTAGTGACTGGATTAATAATTTCAACAGTGTGTGATTTAATAATTTCAACATTGGCAAGTTTCTAATTTCAATAGTAAGTGGGTTTATAATTTAGTAATAAGTAATCTTTTCAACAATATGTGGGTTTAAGATGTTAATTATGATTTCAATAATGGATGCCATCATTTCGATAGTGTAAAACATGGTAATAATAGATATTTAACTATTTTAACATGGGGTAGATTATAATTTCAAAAATGGGTAAGTATGTGATTTTGGCAGCAGCGATGATTTATAGGTTTATGCTTTAACAATAGATAGAACCAATTTAGAATGGGTAGCTCATAGTTTAGAAATAGAATATTATGTGGTCTGATCTAAACTGATAGATCACAGTTAGTCTTAAAACCAGAAAAAATTTGTCTGTCTTTAGTCTTAAGATCAGACTAGTCAATTCTTAAGACTGTAAACTATTAAAAACTAGACCAGGGTTGGACCAAAATAGATCAGACTAGACTAGATCGAACCATTAATATCTCTAAGATAGATAGTGATTTTAATAGTGAAGGAATTTATAATTTTAATAATGAAGGTCTTGATTCAACAACTGAATGGGTAGATTTTCTATTCCAGTAGTAAATGGAGAATTTAATGATAGTTTTGTAATTTAATGAAATACAATAGACTCTTCATAAGTATACCTTCATTAATACACATTTATTTGATCAGTACAATTTAATTATTTATTAAAGTTTGAATACAAGCCCCGTGATATTTTTTATTTTCCATAAAAATTTTTAGTATAAAAAGTAAGATAATAATTTGTTGGTACTAAGAGTTTAGATGACAAAGTTGCTTGAGCGATCTCTTTGAATACTCAATTAATAGTAAATTTACCAAGCCAGATATAAAAAAAAATATGGTTTGTGGAAGAAGCTTGTAAATTGAAATGACAAACTTAATATTTTTTACTATTAAAATAATATTTTATTTATATAATAAACTTTATTAAATTACGATTATAATTATAATCAACATATTGGAAGTAAAATTTATTTACAACATTTTTCGACCTATTAATTAAGATATTTGAGAACATTTTAAATAGCAATATATCGTAAAGCTATATTCTAGTCTATGTGCTAGCTACATTAATTATTAGTAATTATTGAGATGATAGCTACTTCTGCAGAGCAATTATCTTTTTACATTGTAGTGACTTTTTTATGTTTATCCTTATAATATTTTATATTACTTATTTATGACTAATTATGCTTGCAACGCTTCTTGCATACTTATAACTGTTGAGTAATATTATAAAATTACTGGAATTTTAGCTTATGTAACAAATATCATTAAAAAAGGTTATTTAATGAAATTAAATCAAGAAATTTATTAATTACAATTGGTTTTGTCACAACTGGATTGAAAAAAAACTGTCCTGTACAAGTTGTTTAATATTTAACAGATGATTGTGAAAAATAACGTATTTTAATATTCATAAAACGATTTGCCAATTTGAAAAAAAAGAATATTAAAATTCGAATTGATGTAAAGAACCAAAAGAATCAAATATGCTTTGATGTGGCAATTATTAAAATAATATAGCTGTGATAAAGCGGCAAGTCACATTTTAATACATTATTATCACACAGTATATCTATATATTGTTATATTTTTAGGTATCTGTGATCAGGTCTTACTATAATAAGAAACACCCCAAATATCGTATAAGCAATATTAAAAAGAGCCAATCACAAGTTTTTTGAAAAAATCTTTTAAAAAAATTTAAATTGACAGACTTCTTATAGACAAAAAGATTCAGAGAGAACTTATTATTAACCCAAAAGAGGTTCTTATAAAAATAAGAAAGCATTTTTAAAAGCAATTTAGATCTCACAACTTTAACCAAGAACTTTGAGAAAGCAAATAGAAAAAGATATATGAACTAATAGAAAAAATACAAGAAGACTGGTATAGCAATCTCAATCAAGATATCTCTAAAGAAGAATAGTTAAACATGCTAAAAGAATTAAAAAAAAAATATAGCTCTAGGGGTTTTAGAAATAATATATATACTAATCAAAGTAGCAAGTTCACAAGTACAAAAAATATTCTGTCTGTTTGCAGAAGCTATATTTACTTTGGCAAAGTACTAATAAAATAGAAGATATCACAAATTTACTCTATTTCAAAAGACTCAGACTAGTACTACAACTTAAATAATATCAGATTTATAGTATTTCTGAAAAATTTTTTAAAATATGTAACCAAAATTGTAACTAAATGATTAGCAAAAGTTCTTACAGAAAAAAATATTTTAAAAATTCTAAACTATGCAGGTTTGCTTGGCAACTCTATAAAGAAACCAGTACAAATTATAAATATAATAATAGAAGATACAAGAAACAACAACAAAAAATTTTGAATAGCATTACAAAATATAAAAAAAGCTTTTGATTCAGTATTTTTAAGGTTATTAGAGCTTGCAATGAAAAGGCTCAAGATTTTACAAATAATAGTAACCTTCATCTTAAATTTCTTTAAGAATAGATAGTTTAAAATCATTATAGATCTGAATACAACAGATTGTTTTAAAATAAATGATAGAATCGAACAAGGTGAAGTGATCTCATCTCTTATATAGAGAATTTTTTATAATTTATTACTTTCAAGAATTCAAGAAGATCTAGACTTAAGATATATGATTAAGCAAAAAATTATAGAAGTATTATAATAGTGATCAACTAGTAAAATATTATCTCTTAAACTGTAATCTAGGCAAATTTGTCTGGAAAATTAAAGTATATTTAATATTTTTTAAATAAAATAATAATTTATTAATAATATGGGGTATATATTTATTATAGAATATATTCTT